ATTATTATTTTTTAAGCCAAAAATGCCGAAATTAACGAAATATTCAAATTTTCAAGTGCTTTGGGGCAGACCTAAATATTAATCTAGAGCAAAATGCTTTTACCACAGTTCATTTTGTACCCAAAGGCAACTTTTCCATACCCAGCTCAAATGAATTTCCAAAAAAAGGTTTTTTCACTCCACTCTAAGGTAGAGTAGTTCGAAAAAAACCTTTTTTAACTTTAAAACAAATGAAACGTTAATTAGAATTTGCAAAGAAGTACGAAAAAATGCCGATATCTTAGGAAAAAAATTTTATGGTCAGATGAGTCCAAATACAACCTTTTCTCATCGGATGGAGTTCAAAAAGTGTGGCGAACAAAAGAAGAAGCTTATAAATTAAGTTGTTTGCGAGGTAGTGTAAAGCATGGAGGAGAAAATGTGATGGTTTGGGGTAGTATGAGTTGGAAAGGGGTAGGAAACTTGACAATTATTGATGAAAAAATGGATGCTTCAATGTATTGTGAAATTCTTAAAGCCAACTTGCAACCATCTACTACAAAATTGAGAATGGGAAAGGATTTTATACTGCAGCAGGATAACGATCCAAAACTTACTGCTAAGAAAACAAAGGTATACTTTGACACAAATAACATCAATGTTATGGAATGGCTATCTCAAAGTCCGGAATTGATTCCTATAGAAAATTTGTGGCATATTTTGGACAGAAAAATTGGCGACCGAGCATTTAGACAAAAAGAAGACTTAAAAGAAGCTATAATGAGCACATGGGATAATATAACAACAGAAGAAACCCAAAGTTTGGTCAACTCAATGTCAAATATATATATATATATATATATATATATATATATATATATATATATATATATATATTTATATTAAACTTATCTATTAATTGCAAAAGTCTGGTTAACTGTGATCCTATTGATATTTTGGATAATGCCCTAACCAAACACAAATTAAAAATAGAAAAAGCCCTCCACATTAAATGGGAAAGTCCCTCACTTAATAAACAAACTTTACTTTATACTATAAACTTATCTATTTAATTTTACTGTCAGTTTATTATTTTTTTTTTTTTGATTGAGCTATTTTGTAATAAATATATTGGTTTATTATGAAAATTTTTGTTTGTTATTATTTCTCTGTAAAGACTTCTATTTTTTACTATTTATTTCAGCGTTAGATTATTGTAAAATAATCTTTTGAAAATGTAAATAAATTTTATAAAACATGTCAAGAATAAAAAACATTGTGTTATTTTTGAAAATAATTACTAATTTTATGCTATTATGTCGATCACAAAATATATTTCACGATTTAGCAAACCTTTCACAAGAAGGTTTAACTTTGCATATTTTACGAAAACTTGAAAAACTTCATATTAAAAGTAAAAAAGCTCGCTTAGTCAAAAACTTTTTAAAAAATTGCAAACTATTTAAAGTCTATCCGAAAAATATCGGATTCAACATACCACATGCAAATTGATATGGTATAATCTTGATTGAAAAGCAATTGCTTAAAAGTGCTTTACATAAAAGAATAAACAAAAAGAAAGAACTTTCACTGGAGAAAGAGTTAGAAAATTTAAAATCTCGAGTAAGAAATAACTGTTCAACTTTGCAATGGTATATTTTAACCGTGGTAATCAATAGCAATATTAAAAAGAAAGAACTTTCAATCATTAAAACTCACAAAAAGAAAACACCAAAATATTATTCAAAACCTATCCTTATATACGCTACAACATGATGAACTCGATTTATTAAACAATAAGCTTGGTTTTGCTTTGCCACAAACATTTATAAAAAAGATAAATGTATTTGCCTAATTTGATTGTATTTTGCAATTTTTTAATAATTAACTGAAAAACAATGATTCGAAACCACAACTTAAAAGTGAACTTTCCCATTTGGCTAACAATTATGTATACAAATACACTCCATCAAAAATTGTCTTAGAAAACATAAAATAATAAAAAGAGTTCTCAATAATGAGAACATTGTTATTACATGACCTGACAAAGGAAAGGGTATAACTGTTCTTAATAAAGTTTATTATATAAATTCATCACATAATATTATAAGAAATAACACTAACTTTAAAGAACTAAAAGAGGATCCAAATATAAATAGAGAAATATCTTTACAAGTGTATCTTAGAAAACTTTATAAGCTTAAATCTTTTGAAAAACACATTTACACTAAAATCTATCATGCAGGATCTCAACCAGCAAGAAATTACGTTTTGCCTAAGATGTGTAAAGGTAGTAAAAATAGTTCTCTTTCAATATTTCGACCTATCATCTCAGCAATCAGAACATATAACTACAACCTCACAATACATCTTTCTAATTTATTGTCTCCTCATATACCTAAACAATTTTGCACTTTAGACTTATTTTCTTTTGTTGAAGAATTAAAACAAACTAATGTAACTAACAAATTTATCGTTTCATATGATGTTGAAAGTTTGTTCACGAATATTCCAATTAAGGAAACCATCAACATAGCAACTGATTTATTTTTTAAAGATAAAATTAACTCAAAACGTTTTTTAAAAATTCACTTTAAAAAATTACTTAAGATTTCCACATCTGGTTCACATTTTCTATTTAACGGAAAATATTACGATCAAACGGATGGTGTTCTCCTTCAGAGCCTTAGTTAATATTTCATGAACAAACATGGATCAATAACTGCTCCTTTATAGCACCATTATTTTATAAACGGTATGTTGATGATATAATTGCTATTTTTTAATTCTAAATATGAAACTCAAAAATTTTTCAAACACCTCAATTAACAAATTTGAAATTTACTATGGAAAAAGGACAAGATAACCAGATTGCCTTTTTAGATGAACTTTTTTAAAAATACAATTTGTTTTCAACTTCAGTTTATCACAAAAAAACGTATACAGATCAAAAAATTTTTAAGTTTTATTCCTTCTTGCTACAAATTTGAACTTGTTTACTGTATGATTGATCATACATTTAAAATTTATAATACCTGGGTTGGTTTTGATAAAGAATTTAAGAATCTATCATTAGTTTTACAAAATAATAAATTTCCACAAAAAATTATTGACTCTGAAATGAAATCCTATATTGATAAGAAAATGAACCCATCTGTTTCAAACATTGTTAATAGCTTAAATATAAGATACTTTAAGCTTCCATACATTGGAATGCATTCTAATAATAGTAAAATGAAATTTTCAAAAAATGCTCATAAATATTTCAAGGATGTTTTAATAATAATAATTTTCCCTACTAATAAAATACAAGATTGTTTTTGCTTAAAAGAGTCACCTCTCAAACTGCCTAAATCTCATGTTGTCTATAAATTTTCTTACGCTGGTTGTAAAGCCAGTTATATTGGAGGAACCTCCAGATATTTGGCAATTAGAATAAATGAGCACCATAAAAGTGATAAACATATTTTTCTCATATATTTAAACACTTCAAGGGTTGAATTAAGCAATCGCAAAGCGCAAAATCTGGAAAAATATCTGGCTTTAAAATTTTAGTTAATGCAAAACTTAAAGTCATAAAAAAAAAGTTATAAAAAACAAAATAAAACAATGAAATTACGATTACAAAAGTAATAACACTCTAGTCACTAACTGCATTATAAATGTAGTAACATATAATAGTGTTATTACTTTTATAACACACTTATAAATTTTATAATTCATTCTATGTTCAAACAAGATAACTAATCCTAAATTTTAATTGAAGTAGAAAAGCATCTACAAAAAATAGAGTGGATTTCAAATAATGTTAAAAACTTTTGGAACTTTAATGACTTTACAAAAAAGTACTGAAAAATTTAACATTATGGAAAATGTTACTAATGGTCGGTAAAAATGTGTGTTATTTATAAAATCAATCAATATAACATTTTTTATTGGTTGATTTTAAAATTAATGCGAATTTTTACAGACTAATAGTAACATTTTTCATAATGCTTAAATTTTCATAAGGTACGTTTTTATAAAGTTGTATACTTGTAAAAGTTCCAGAAGTTTTTAATAAAATTTGAATATCCACTTTATTTTTTCTAGATGGCTTTTTACTTTAATTAAAGTTTGGAATAACTTATGTTGTTTGAACAAAGAATGAACTTTAAAAGTTATAAAAGTAATAACACTATTATACTTTTATTACTTTAATAATGCAGTTAGTTACTAGAATATTAATAGTTTTGTAGCAGCATATTGTTTTATTTTTCTATAACTTTTTTACTAACCAAGTTGATTTGCCACTTTTGTAGTCATAAGTTTATTGTTTTCTTTTTATTTTTCTATTTAACTATTTTGCTAACTATTATTATTATAACGATTTATTGATTTGCTCATTGAAAACAAAGAACATGGTTTTGTATAAGCTAAAATTTTGAAGACCAGATATTTTTCCAGATTTTGCGTTTTGCGATCGCTTAATTCAACCCTTGCATTTAAATTTATCTATCTCTTGCAAAACCCTGGTTAACTGTGATTCTTTTGAGATTTTGGATAATGCCTCAACCAAACACAAATTAAAGATAAAAGAAGCCCTACACACTAAATGGGAAAGTGCTATAAACTTATTTATTTAATTTTACTGTCAGTTTATTATTATTTTTTTTGACAGTTATTTATTTTGATTGGTTATTTACCAAGTTATTTTGTAATAAATATATTAGTTTATTATGTAAATTTTTGTCTCTGTAAAGACTTCTACTTTTTAACATTTATTTCACAGTTTTATAATTGTTAAACAATCTTTTGAAAATGTAAATAAATTTCACAAAACATGTCAAAAAAAACAACAACATGTTATTTTAAAAAATAATTAAATATATATATATATATATATATATATATATATATATATATATATATATATATATATATATATATATATATATATATATATA